AACCAAAACCGGAAGGGGGTGTGTGTGTCCGCGCGCGCGCGCGCGTGTGTGTGTGTGTGTGTGTGTGTGTGTGTGTCTATGAGAGAGAGAGAGAGAGAGAGAGAGAGAGAGAGGGAGAGAGAGAGAGAGAGAGAGAGAGAGAGAGAGAGAGAGAGAGAGAGAGAGAGAGGGAGAGAGAGAGAGAAGAGACAGAGTCATAGACAGATACAAAGAAGGAGCACTAGTTTTCCGACTTTGCTTTTCAACCATCAAAATTTTCTTTCTTTGCATCATCAAAACATTTCCTCTCTGCATTTACACGGGCTTGAGACCGTCACACCGAAGTGAGGCTGCATTAAAAATGTTTGCTGAGGAAAAAAAAAATAAAGAAAAAGATTAGCAAACTATAAAACATAGTCAAATTATATTTCGAGAGAAAGAGGGAGTAAGTAAGAGAGCAGATGTGAGAGCAATAGATAGATAGATAGATAGATAGATAGATAGATAGATAGATAGATAGATAGATAGATAGATAGATAGATAGATAGATAGATAGATAGATAGATAGATAGATAGATAGATAGATAGATAGATAGATAGATAGATAGATAGATAGATAGATAGATAGATAGAGAGACACAGAGAGAAAGAGAAAGAGAGAGAGGGGGGATATATATATATATATATATATATATATATATATATATATACATATGCATATGCATAGATATAGAGAAAGAGAGAGAGAGAGAGAGAGAGAGAGAGAGAGAGAGAGAGAGAGAGAGAGAGAAGGAAAGACAGAGACGGGAGAGAGACAGTAGAGATAGACAGAAAAAGAGTAAAGAGACAGAAACAGAGATAGAGACAATAGCAAAGACATACAAATAGACAAAAAATAGACATAAGACATACGCGTAGATATAAACAAAGACTCAAGACATAGACATAGACATAGACAAAGACATAAGACCTAGATATAAACAAAGACAGACAAAAATAAACCTACAAATCCAGTGGTACTTACCAGTCTCATCCTTTAGCTGCTCCTTCCAAAGCCAGGCCGGGGGTCCTAGCTGCAGCTCTACTGAGGTGGCCTAGAGGGACAGAGCACGGAGGCGACGCGGAGGAAGGTGGAGGCGTTCAAACGTAGCCGGGGCTCCGGCTCCAACAGGTGACGAAGAACTTTCCTGTACGGCGGCTTGACGTCAAGGCACTGGTCCGCGGTGGTCAGGGGGTCCAAATTTTTAGTAGTACATTTATGTATGTGTGTGTATGGGTGAGTGTGAGTGTGTGTGTGTGTGTGTGTGTGTGTATGTGTGTGTGTGTGTGTGTGTGTGTGTGTTTGTGTGTAGATAGGTGAGGTTGAGAAAGAAAGCGATAGATAGATAGACAGATAAACAGATAGATAGATAGATAGATAGATAGATAGATAGATAGATAGATAGATAGATAGAATAAAATGTATATTTACCTTGAAGGGACACATGCACCGTCCTGTCCTAGTCTCAGGCCCGTAGAAGCCGCAGGTAGACACCCAGCTGGTCACCTTCTTCTCTCCGTCCTTCAGTCTCCGCGCCAGTCCAAAGTCTCCCAGAACTGCTCTGCCATCGTCGTCGAGGAAGATGTTGGCCGGCTTTACATCCTGGTGGTAGATCCTCAGTCTGTGGATGTAGTCCAGGGCTCTGGCAACATCTGCCACATATCCCAGAGCCACAGAAGACTCCACGGGGAAAGACTTGTCTACCGTACCGTGAGGGTAATGCTTCAGGACGATGAAGCCTTGGCGAGGGGTAGAAGCATAAGTCACGAGAGACATGACGCGGTCGTGGCTGAGGCATCGTAGGGCAGACACCTCGTCGTGAAACTGGTCCACCATAGCTTGCTTCCCACTCTCGAAAGAGATGATCTTCACAGCTACTTTCGAAGAGGGGTCCTTCCTGTCGAAGGCCAGAACAACTTGAGCAGAGCCGCCTCGTCCCAGACAGGGGCCCTTGTCCAGGTTGAACGTTCCTAAGACGTGCTTCTGCTCTTCGGAGATCTCCATACTTGCAAAGTATTCAGACTCAGAAAACAACTTCGATGTGGGTCGCTCGAGTGTTCAGAGTGAACTGACCACCAGAAAGTAGAAACTAACTGGTCAAGTCTGGACACAAAGAAAGTGGATTCCGAGTTTTGAAAATTCGAGGCTTTGTTATCAAAATCCTTTAACTGACGGTAACCAATCAGATCTCGCCACGTAGTAAAAGACACCCCCAGGGGGAATAGGTCCGGTGTCCGTGGCTTGTAGCGGCTTACATCAAAGCGTGTCAACTCATCAACACCTATTGTGTAACCAGGCTGGCTGGTCAGTGACTGACCAGGCGTTGCAATTTTTTAAAAGAGGATTATTTCTTTGTGAAGTTATTTTGGGAAGTCCTTGAAAAAATATTTAATCGGCTTTCAAATCTACGAATAAGACTCTATTGTCTCGTTTTGAGAATTGGTTGAGGGGTGCGGGAGGTGAGAACCGGGGACCCTCGTCGGTCTTTGTTATTGTTGTTGAAAAAGAAAAACAACAACTCGAGAGACCTCTTAACGTTTTCAAACAGATGTAATGGTTGATTGGTTTGACATACGGAGTAGAGGACTATGATATTATTTTGTGCTGTGTAAGAGAGTGATTAAAATGTTCCCTAGGATTTGGGTTGTGTATATCTCAGTAAAACCTTTCAAAGCAGTAAAGGCCATAGGGTGCACAGAAAACATGTTCTAGTTAGAGTTTAGCTCTACTGGCAACATAATAAGGTAAACCAAAAAAAAGGAGACTTGAAACAAAATTAAATAATAAAACAATAACTCAGGAGTTGAAAGGAAAAAAATAGATATAAACAACAAGGAAGAATGCAATTATTTGTTGGTCAAATAAAAGCTCTTTATTTTCATCCATGACAAAATATGTGTACAGATATTTTTAAAAAATGCGAGTCGCGTAGTTTCAGACGCAGGAATAGATGAATAATACTGAAAATGGTGAAATGGTATAGGTTTAACGCCCCTATCAACACTATTAGGTTATTTAAGAGGTGGGACCTCCGAGTTTAACGCCCATCTCCGAAAGGACCGAGCCAAATAGGAAATTCGTATAAAGTGCCTTACCAAGGACACAACGTCGGACTAAGCTGAGGCTGGAACTCCCGAACCCGCAACCTCGCCACTGTGAATAATACTGTGTAACTTGACAAAATGTATGTTGAACTCTTACAGGACATTAACACACACATTGTATCAGATCAGCAAACAAAAGGCGATGTTGCAGCACATTTCAAACGATCATAGACAATCTTAGTAAACCATAATTTTCCTATTTCGTAAAATGCATACTGTAGCACACGTTTTTGAAATTTTTTTTCAAGGTTCTGAGAAATAAAACTGAATTGAAAAATCTGCTTAACCGACTAAGTTATGCATCTCTTAAGTTACCCTAAAAAAAGTGCGTCTTATATTGGTTTTTTGTTGTTGTTGTTCAGAATGCGTGTCCATTATGAGTGGGCCTAAATGGTTACAGCAGTAAGAAGGGGCCAATGGGTAGCAGTACAAAGGCTGCTGATACAAATAGGAGCCCAGAGGAGGGGGAAAGGGGGTCGGGGTGGGGGCTGGAAGAGGGGACGAAGGCAGACGACAGAGCATGGTTAGATGTGGAAAGCAGGTGAAAGGAGACAAATTTAGAGATGAAAAAATTCCGTCGCCTCCAGGTTTCGAAAGCGGGACCTATTGAATGAGAGGCCAACATTGAACCTCCAGACCACGAGAGAAACCGATGGTGGTAGTTGTGCTACCGAGAGAC